GATGCATGCTAACCCTACCTAAAGTTCTTGATGCCCCCCCCATGACCCCTGCCCCATCCACCCCCCTTCCCTGTCCCTTGACTGCCCCCTGCCGCCCCATCTAACCCCTCCTCTTATTCCTGATGGCCCCCTGGGACCCCTGCCCCATCCAACCACCCCTTCTCTCTGTCCCCGACTGCCCCGGAACCCCTGCCCCTGACTACCCCCCACTGCCCAATCCAACCTCTGCTCCTTCCTGACTGCCCCCCCGGGACCTTTGCCCCCATTCATTCCCCTGTTCCCTGCCCTCTGACTGCCCTGACCCCTATCCACCCCCCCACAACCCTCCGAACTCCCCTGCCCTCTTCCAACATCCCCTCCCTGCCCTCTTACTGTGCTGTCTGGAGCCGCTTGGCCAGGGCTGGGTCCGGGCCAAAGCTGTGCGGCCAGGGCCGGGCCGGAGCCGTTCGGCCAGGGCCGGGTCCGCTCGGTCCGGGCTGGGTCCAGGCCGGAGCCACTCAGCCGGGGCCAGGGCTGGGCTGGGTTCGCTAGGGCTGGGCCGGGCTGGGCCGGGTCAGAGGCCAGGTCCAGGCTGGGTCAGGGTCCGGGGCCAGGCTGGAGCCGCTCAGGGTCCGGGTCCACTCGGTCTGGGCTGGGTCAGGGTCCGGGTCTGGGCCGGAGCTGCTCGGCCGGGTCCGGGTCCGGGACGGGTCCGCTCAGTCCGGGGCCGGAGCCGCTTGGTCCGGGGCCGGAGTCGCTCGGCCAGATCCAGGTCCGGGGCCGCTCGGTCCGGGCTGGGTCAGAGGCCGGGGCTGGGCCAGAGCCGCTCGGCTGGGTCAGGGTCCGGGTCCGCTCGGTCCGGGCTGGGTCAGGGTCCGGGTCCGGGTCCAGGTCTGGGTCCGGGCCGGGACCGGGTCCAGGTCCGGGTCTGCTCGGTTCAGACCGGAGCCGCTTGGTCCGGGCTGGAGTCAGGCCGGAGCCTCTCGGGACGGGACGGCGCCATTCGGCTGGGGCTGGGGCCAGGCAGGCACCGCGGGGCCCGAGCTGAACCGGGCCGGAGCCACTCGGCCAGGTCCGGGGCCGGGCCAGAGCCGCTTGGCTGGGGCCGAGACCAGCGCCGCGAGGCCCGAGCCGGGCTGGAGCTGCTCGGCCGGGATTGGGCTGGGGCTGGGGGCGTTCGACCGGGGCCAGGCTGGGGTCAGGGGGCCATGCTGGAGGGAGCCGTGCGCTCAGCCAGGGCCAGACTGGGCCGCGCAGCGCCTCCCTGGACCCCTGCTCGCATCCCCCCCCCGCCCCAGCTTACCTCTTGCCTGCTGCTTGTTTCAGGCTTCCTGCGAACATCTGATTCGCGGGAAGCAGGGGAGGGGGAGGAGGAAGGGGGTGGAGCATTCAGGGGAGGAGGGGGAAGTGGGCCGGGGGCGGGGTGGACAGCTGTGCGGGGCACTCTAGGCACGGGGCCCCATTCAGAGGAATCGGGCGAATCGGCCTAAAGCCGGCCCTGTGTTCCATGACCACATGACAGTGCAAGTGCTCGCCAATGGTGACTCTTCCGACGCATTTGAAGTCTCGAATGGAGTGAAGCAAGACTGCATACTTGCTCCAGTGCTGTTCAACTTGTTCTTTGCCTATGTCCTCAGCCATGCTACAAGGGACTTGAATCAGGGGATATACTGTATATACTCGTTCATAAGCCGGATATTTTTGGTAAAAAAGTGATGCATCAAAGAGCGGGGGTCAGCTTATAAATGGGTCTACATCAAAATTTGATGATTTTAAACTCTATGGAATCATTAATTTGAATATCTAATACATTGTCATTTTGTTTACCTGGAGCATCTGCAGGCATGGAGCCCTTCAGCTCCCTGTGGCCGTGGCTTGCCGTTCCCTGCCAACTGCGGCCACAGGGAGCTGAGGGGCTCCATGCCTGCAGACGCTCCAGGTAAACAAAACATCTGGACCCGCCAGCAGCTTACCCTGACGGCCGGGAGCCAAAATTTGCCAACTCCTGAAATATAGGGTCGGCTTATGAAAGGATCATACAGTTTTTTGCTATTTTTACCTAACCATCTTGGGGGGTCAGCTTATAAACGAACAGGCTAATGAACACATATACACCTCTACCCCAATATAATGCGACCCTATATAACATGAATTCGGAAATAACGCGGTAAAGCAGCGGGGAGCCCCGGGCCCTTTAAATCGCCGCCCGAGCCCAGCTGCCGGAGCTCTGGTGGTGATTTAAAGGGCCCGGGGATCCCTGCAGTGGCTGGAGCACCGGGTCCTTTAAATCACCATCGGGAAAGCCTGACCATACCGGCTTACTTTAACCTCTGGATATAACGTGGTTTCACCTATAACGCGGTGAGATTTTTTGGCTCCAGAGGACCGCGTTATATCGGGGTAGAGGTGTATACGGTACATCTGCTACTGACTTGATGGCTCCCTCTTTGATCTTTGAAGACTCAGTGCTAAGACCAAGACACTGGAGAGGCTTCTTGTCAAGGCATTTTCTGCAGATGACTGTGCCTTGATGGCCCATAGACATGACAACCTTCAAGGTCATTGTTGATAGATTTTCTGAAGCATCCCAGCTCTTTGGCCTGTGACAAAGCTCCAAGCCTGTATTGGTGGGTCCCGTGCTTCCTGGCGGATATAGTGGCTTCAGAAGCTCACTGAGGCCCTCAATATGACCTCCCTTTCCCAGTAAGGTGGCAAAGGTTACAGATTATTGAGCTAAAAAAACAACAAGGAGTCTGGTGGCACCTTAAAGACTAACAGATTTATTTGGGCATAAGCTTTCGTGAGTAAAAAACCTCACTTCTTCGGATGCAACTTGAGATTATTGAGCTACTTTCATCACAGGCCTGTATGGGAGGTGGGAAGGTAGAATACTCAGTCTCTGTTGCTCCTTAGAGCTCCTTAGGCACAGTTTGTCTCCTGCCTGGTTCCAAGTCTGTTTCCCCTTTTAAAAGGATCTCTGTAGATCATGAGGAGGGAGAAAGGGGGGAACCCGGGTCCGCCCTCTACTCCGGGTTCCCACCCAGGGACCCTAATGATAGCAGCTGTTAGCGGCTTCCCTCCTCCACTGACGCTGCTTTGATTCCCTGGGCCACTTCCCTGTACTCCCCTTTTCCAAACTTCACCCTTACCTCAGGGTACAGTAATGCTTCCTCTCCTCCAGCTCCTTTCACCTGGTGCGGGTGGAGGCTTGTCAAGCTGATTATTCAGCGGCCTCCTCAGCCCGGGTCAACTGGGTCAAGAGCTCTGGCCTGGTGGTCGGGGCCGGGTGGTAGGCGAGCTCCCTCCCACCCGCACTTCAAGCCATCCGGTGGAGCGCGGGTCCGCTGCTCTATCTTGGCGTTTATTTTTCTGCCACGCATCCGTCTCTGCCAGAGAACTGGCACTGTTTAGAGGACAGGGTGACTGGGCAGTTGCGGAGCTGGACAGGACTGCTCCGGTGCCTCTCCCTCAGGGGGAGAGCACTGGTGCTTAACCAACTGGTCGTGTCCATGCTCTGGCACTGACTCAACACCCTGTGCCCGCCCCCGGGGTTCCTGGCCAATCTCCAGAGATTGGTTCTGGGGTTTTTTTTGGCCAGGACTGCACTGGGTCTCTGCAGGGGTTCTCCATCTCCCCCTGGAGGAGGACGGACAGGGCCTGATGTGCATGCGCACGCAGGTCCATGTCTTCCGCCTCCAGGCTCTGCAGAGACTCCTTTATAGTGCAGGTGGCTTGGCGTGGAGCATGTTGGCGCACACCTTCCTCTGCTGCCTGCGAGGGCTCCGATACGACCAGCAGCTCTTTTTTCTCCATCTGAGAGGTCTTCCGCGAGACCTCTCCAAGCTGCTGGTCTTCTACCAGGACCTCCTCCAGGCCTGGAGGCTGGTTTCAACAACCAGGTCCTTTGTGGCCACTGAGGGGGTAGATCTCCTCGCGGAGTCCCTGCTACACAATCCCCATCTTCGTGTGCAGGTGGCGGAGTCCTCCTTGGTGCGCTGGAGGTTGGTCCTGGCAGGAGTTACCAAGATCGGAGACCTCCTGGAGTACGACCTGGGGGACTGGGTGGATCCCCAGGTGCTTGGTCGCCGCATGGGGCTCTCCACCCTTACAACACCCTGGTGCGTACTCCAGGAGGTGGAGGCAACCCTGCTTCCCGCGGCTCGGTTTTTCCTTGAGCGGGTCCTGCGAGAGGGTGCGCCCCGCCCACCCCTCACTCCAGGCCCTCCGGTTCTTTCCATCGGCCCCCTGCCCCGTGAGCCTTCCTGGCCTCCCGAACAGCCTATGTCACATGCTGAGTAGGTGGTGATTGTGCCAGATATTGCAAGTCCATGCAGTATCTCTGGGGACCATTGTATTAAATTTATAAATGGCTGATGTATGATTATGTTTTCCTCTGTGGAGGAGGGTTACCACAGCACCTCCAGGAACAAAAAATTGGGGGGAGAGGGGGGAATGATTACCTTGGGGATTGTGAACAATTCTAGGAAAGCTCCACTCCCTGGGATCTCTGGGTCAGACTGGGTTTTCCAGAGACTCAAATGAAGATTTGGTGTAAAAAGGCTGAGTTTAAACTGATACAGGCCTTCTTTTTGTTCCAGCAAATGGCTGGGGCTGTCTGTCCCAGGGGGACCCAACCCTAGCAGAAGGGTGGGACAAGACTTTGGCCTGCTAGGGGCTTATAAGACTGAGAGGTAACTGTGGTATTAGGTGTGTTTTAAATCTGTTTGTTGTTTTTTACATGTTTTCTCTGTAATGCTTTTACCTGAAGAATAAATGTGTTTGCTTAGGAAGAGCTGTGTGGGACTGCTGACAATACACTGTTCACAGCCTTCAGAGAGACAGCAATGCACAGGTGCCAGAAGTTAGGCAGGTGGTTTGCTGGGGTTATTCCAGTCTAAGGCAGCCTTAAAACCTCTGGTCAGGAGGGAGTGGGACATGGGTCCCTACCCAGAGACCGGCGATGACTGGAGACCTGAGACCTGATTGGGCACTGCTGGAGCGGACCAAGGGGGGGATGAGGGGGGATACAGACACAGGTAACTGCACCAGTATTTTCTCCTTTGTTATACATCATCTATTGGGGGTTTATGTGTTTTTTGTCCCAGGCTGCAGCCGTGATGGGATCGCGCCATTTCCCAGCTCGCACCGTGCTGTTCGAGAGGGAGCCGAGCGGAGTGACTTACCGTGTTCCAGCGCTGCTCTACATCCCCTGTATGGCAAAGCTGTTGGCCTTTGCTGAGGAGAGGCTGAGTATTGATGATGCCCATGCAAACCTGCTGGTGCTAAGACGAGGGACCTTCCTCAGGAACTATGTGGAGGTGAGTGGCAAGACCGATGCTGTTAAATCAACTAATGGGGCAGTTGCCTGGAACAACAAAATAGTTAGGGCCAGATCTGGGGGAGTCCCCGTGGCTGGCTCTACATCACCCTTTCCCACCCCACTGGTGTGGGGCATGACAGGGAACCAATGGGGTGTGTGGCTGGAACAGACAACCCTGTGTAACATGATATAACTTAGAGAAGCCGTGAGGCTTTTCTCTGTGGGGCTTTAAAATGAGGAAGGATAGATAAAGCTGACATGACCTGATCTTGTTCCCACCCATGGGTCCTGCCTTGGGCATGACGTGACCCAAGGAGCAGGCCCAATGTGCCTGTCTGTTGTACGAGTTGCTGTGAGGCGTGCAGAACTCCCATTTTCATAAAGGGAGCAACACCTCCAGCTCCAGCAGGGAGAGCAACCGAAAAGAGGATGGTGACTGGGCAGAGCTATGGAGTCAGCGTGGGACAATGGCTGAGCTGACCTGGTTTGTGAGGGAACAGACAAAGGCCACAGTTCAGGAAAAAAGACGGGTGAGAGAGAGTCAGTGAGATCCAGTAACCCCATCCTGCCCTCTCCTGCTAGTGGGAAGACATGAGAGCACTGGAGACTGCGACCTTGAAGCACCATCGGTCCATGAACCCCTGTCCTGTCTACGATGAATTCACAGGCATCGTCTTCCTCTTCTTCACTGCTGTGCTGGGCAAGACTTCCGAGGCCTATCAGATCATCACAGGCCAGAATGTCGCCCGCCTGTGCTACGTGTCCAGTTCCGACCAGGGGCGGAGCTGGAGCAAGGTTACTGACCTGACACAGCAGGTCATTGGCAGGTCCATCACAGGTAAAGATCCCAAGAGCTAGGCACGGGGGAGGGGAGAACGAAGGGGTTCAGAGGTGTCTGGGGCAAAGTGCTGTCTCCTGGCTTCCTAGGAAGCTGTGTGTGGGCGTCAGTCAGAAGGAAGTGCACTTCCTGCAGCCTGGAGCTTTGCTTGCCCAGCATTGGTAAATGGCCAGGCCCAAGGCAATAGGAACAGCAGGAAAGAAGGAGCAGAGCCACCAGAGTCAGGAGAGAAGGCGAGGAGGCGGAGCATGGGAGAGAGTCAATATTTGCAAGGTTCTCTCTCTTTTGATCAGTTGTGGCCATGGCCAAGATTAGGGTGACCAGATGTCCCGATTTTATAGGGACAGTCCTGATTTTTGGAGCTTTTCTTACATAGACTCCTATTTGCAAGGTTCTCTCGTTTTTGATCAGTTGTGGCCATGGCCAAGATACTTAGGGGAAAGAGGCTGATCAGCTGGGCTTGCGCCTTCCCTCAGTTGCTGCTGGGGAAGCCTTGCTTGCCTTAGGCTCTGCACCCCATGCTCGGTGGGCTGACATGACAACACAGGGCTCAATGACATGCCTGGCTCTCAGTTCAGGTGCTAGTGGACAGCTGGGCTTCTCACAAGTAGCACCATCAATGGCATCCTTGGCAGAGAGGCTGAGGAGTGAATGAGTCTGGAGACAGAACTACCCTTTTCCCTGGAGAACTGGTCTCTGGAGCTCAGGATAGAGGCACAATGAAGGGGTGCATAAGGGATGCTGGCGCTGCCACATGCTGTGCTGGGGACATCACAGGCTCAAAGGCTCAGCCCCTGGCTCTGGCACTAAGTGCACTTCTAAGGGAAAAACAGTTAGAGGGAGAAGATGGAGAGGGTAGAAGGGAAGGTTCCCGACACTGGTCTTTTCTTTTCTGCACAGATTGGGCCACTTTTGCTCTAGGCCCTGGCCATGGAATTCAGCTCAAGTCAGGACGACTGCTGGTTCCAGCCTACACTTACCACATCGACTGCAAGGAGTGCTTTGGGAAGCTCTGCAAGACAACCCCTCACTCCTTCACCTTCTACAGCGATGACCACGGCCAGAGATGGCGCTTTGGCGAGTTCATCCCCAATCTGCCCACCGTGGAATGTCAGATGGTCTCCGTCGATGAGGAGGATGGCAGCAATGTCCTCTACTGCAATGCCAGGAGCCCCTTGGGCTTCAGAGTGCAGGCGCTGAGCACGGATGATGGAGCAGTTTTCCACTTGGGGCAGCTTGTTCAGCGGCTTGTAGAGCCCCCCCATGGCTGTCATGGCAGTATCATTGGCTTCCCTGCCCCTCTCTTCTATGCCCCAAGCAGCCCCTATTCACGGTGGAGCACGCCTTGGTCTATCAATGGCCCAGACTGCCTACTGCTGTCTAGAAAAAACACTAGACACTGTTATCGCCCTCTCTGTGATATGGCTGTTGAAAACCCAGCAGCCATGTCTTTGGGCAGCCAGCTGCAGGACCATCAACAGCCAGCAGGGTCTAAAGAGCCCAGTCCTTCCAGCAGCCATTACGAGATCCATGATTCCATGTCCTCAGCTGTGTCATGTGGAGGTCAGGAGCAGCCTGAACCAGGAGCTGCTTCCAAATCCATTTTCCTCTTCCAGACCCCAACATGGGTGCTCTATTCCCATCCAACAAGCTCCAGGTCGCGGATCAACATGGGTGTCTATCTCAGTACATTCCCCAGGGATGCAGATAGCTGGACAGAGCCCTGGGTTATTTATGAAGGCCCCAGTGCCTACTCAGATCTGGCCTACATTGAACTGACCTACTCGGAGTTCTCAGCCACTGGGATCCCAGCCATAGCCTTTGCTTGCCTGTATGAAAATGGGACGAGGTCCCCCTATGAGCAGATCTCCTTCAGCATGTTCACACTGTATGATGTGATTCAGAACATCCCCCTGAAAGCCACATCACCAGACCCGAAGCACCACTTGTATAAGAAAAAGAGGGGGAGGAGTTGTGTCACCTCCTAAAGCTCCAACTCCACAGCACTCAGGAGCTAGAAGTGTGGGATGGAACTCGCTACACGGTGGCATGAAGGATGCCTAATTATTTGTATTCAGACTGATAGTGGGCCGGATCCTCAGCTGCTGTAAGCAAGCATAGCTCCCCTGCCATGAGTGAAGGTATGCTGCCTTACACCAGCTGAGGAGCTGACCCACACCTTCATCAATGAAAACATCAAAGGCCCAAGCTGCAGACGCATATTCACGTATCCTACGGAAGTCAACGGGACTAGAACATGCATAATAGAGCTTGCTTGTGTAAGCAAACGCTTGCTTGTGTAAGCAAACGCTTGCAGTCAGGCTCAAGCCCAATGTATGGTTTAATATTCTAGAAGGATCTGTTATCCATATATTACAGTGCAGCTGTGCAGGAACACGGTACATTTTTACAAGTAATCACAAAACACTGTGCACTTTTACTTAAAGGGGACTCACTTTTAATAAGAGAGAAACATCCTGATGTGCGATTGCTCTAAGATACAGTGAGCCTGATTCAGCAGTGCCTTGAGCTCTGTGCAATAGTATGCAGCACTGCAAAATGCTCCTACCAGTCTCCGGGGTAACAATATTGCACCCCTGCTGCACAGGTGTAAATGACACCACAAGGTGCCATGTGGCATGAGACCCAGCGACCCAATGGCAAGAAAACTAGACGTTACAAAAAATGATCGTGCTGCTCATTCATTACCAGCTAGAATAGACATGCCCAGTTGTGGCATCCGTACCACTGCGTCAGAAAGCCTGCAGAAAACTTCAGCTGCAACTAGCCATGGCTCCTTTGTATAGGAACTGTGAAAACACCCTTTTTATCTGTCAAGCCTGGGGCTAGTCTCTGTCATGGCCTCATCAGAGGGATGGTTCTGCTATGTAAAATTCTCCAGCTAGTGAAGACTTGTCAAGTGAAGTGAACTTTGGCCATAAGGGCAGGCATAGGCCCGAGGAAGGATTAGAGGAGAAGGAACTAGGACTGCCTCAGCATCAGTCACAGCTCTGCCACAGGCAATGTGTGGCCATGGGCACGTCCCTCAGGTTTGAACACTTTGGCCGAGGTCTGGCTAGACTGCAGTCCGAGGTGTGACTGCAGCACTGTAGTGATCTAGCTTGGCTCGAGACAGTGTGGGTACGGCTAGTTGTGAAGCTGCGGTACTTGCACAGGTGGCAGTATTGGCTAGCTACTGGAGTGGCTCCCCAGAGCTCTGGTCAGGCTTGTACAAGCCAGCCTGCCACTTGTGCCACTGCTGCCGCCCTGCTGCTGCTGTTCAGGGCAGCCAGATTAAAGCTGGCTTGGGAAGGGCTACTCGTGCTGCAGGCACCCCAGGGTGGACATACCCAGAGTTTGCCACCTCAAACCAGGCTAATCAAGCTACTTATTGAGGCCCCTAATGATGAAGCTAGACTAATTTACTTTGTTTGCTCACCTTTGCAAATGATGGTCTTTAAAGGAGAAGATTCAGAGATTCCAAGGCCAGAAGCAAACATTGTGATCATCTACACGGACCTCTCATATAACACAGGCCGTAGAACATCCCCAAAATAATTCCTAGAGCATATTGTTTAGAAGAAACATCCAATCTTGATTTTAAAAGTGCCAGTGATGGAGAATCCACCACGACCTTTGGTAAATTGTTCCAATGGTTAATTACCCTCCCTATTAAAAATGTACACCTTATTCCAAGTCTGAATTTGTCTAGCTTCAGTTTCCAGCCACTGGATCATATTAGACCTTTCTCTGCTTCCTTGAAGAGCCCATTATTAAATATTTGTTCCCTGTGTAGATACTTATAGATTGTAATTAAATCGTCCCTTAACCTTCTCTTTGTTAAGCTAAATAGATAGAATTGGGGAGCTCAATCTCTGTTGAAGTGATGTCATGGTGAGAGTCTGTTATAGACTACCAGACCAGGGGGATGAGGTGGGCAAGGCTTTCTTCCGGCAACTAACAGAAGTTACTAGATTGCAAGCCCTGGTTCTCATGGGAGACTTCAATAACCCCGATATTTGCTGGGAGAGCAATACAGTGGTGCACAGACAATCCATGAAGTTTTTGTTAAGTGTAGGGGACAATTTCCTGGTGCAAGCGCTGGAGGAAGTGCAAGTAGGGGCAGAGCTCTTCTTGATCTGCTGCTCACAAAAAGGGAGAATTAGTAGGGGAAGTAAAAGTAGATGGGAACCTGGGAGGCAGTGACCATGAGATGGTCGAGTTCAGGATCCTGACACAAGGAAGAAAGGAGAGCAGCAGAATACGGACCCTTGACTTCAGAAAAGGCGATCTTGACTTCATCAGAA